TCTCACACGAATGCAAAGCTCGTGGCTGCCGAAGAGCCCTCGGGCAGAGACGCTCAGAGGTTTTGGACTCTTGAGGCTCCATGGGAGGTGGAGAAGAAAGGAGGTGTCACGAAATTGGGGTGTGTTTTCTGCCAGGAGGAGGGGGCCGGCTGGAGCAGCGTGGTGCCGCGGGGCCGGAGCAGCGCTGTGCCAGGCTGACAGTGCGGGGTCCCGGCACCTCACCCCCGCCCCATGAAAAGTGGGGTGCTGCTGGGGACACCGCACCACCCCTGAGCTGGTTTTTGCACTTCTCGAAGCTATTTAAACACTCGCTGTAGAATTGAGACGTCTCAGGAGAAACTGGGTTTTCTTCCAGGGGGCACGGCTGGGGTGAGCCCCCACCCAGCACCCCTTGCTCCTCCACCCACAGCTGCTTGTCCTTGGCCATGCCTCTGGTTTATCTGCCAGCGGGCAACCCAGGGACTGGGTTTGGCCAGTAGCATCTGTCCCTCGAGGGGCAGCTTTGCGGATATAGAAAGTCCCTGGGCAGAGAAGCCCACACCGATGGGGGAAGAGCCGTGTTTCTCCGTGCACCCCGTTCCCACCGTCCTCGCTCCCTCCTCGCCCGTCGGCACAGCCGGGTGAAAGCCCTCGCCCGGGCATGGGGGGGGAGCTGGGCTTCATGTGCTGAACTCAAAAGCAATTGATTTTTTTCTAGTTCTCCTATTTATTGACCTCCTTTAGAAGGGCTATCTTTCTATTGCCGTGCAAACCTTGGTGTTTCTTTGAAATCGTCTTGCGGTCTGGGTCGGGTGGTCGGGAGTTTTACTGCTGCCCTTGAAGCTCCAGGTTCGTGCTTTGGGGACGGGAGTGTCGTGATGTGGGAACCTGTGGTCTGTAAATACTGTGTCATGGGTTTGTGTAGCTTGTGGCTGAGGCTGGGGGGACAGGGGGACGGAGAAGGGCTGCTCCGGGTGCAGAGGGGCTCGTCGGCACCCCAGTGCTGCCCTGCAGCACGTCCTCCCCTGGGTGAGAGGTGTAACCCGCTCTTTTCCTGGCCACACACCTCATCTGGAAAAGATTTCACATTTATTACCAAAAATGTTTGGGTTTTCTTTTTTTTAAGGAGTTGCTCAATGAATAAACAACCCTTATCCACCCTTCCTGTTTGTCTGTTCCATCCAAACGCGCTCGGGAAGTGCAAGCGGGAGTAGCTCCTGCCGGAGAGAAAAATGCTGACGGGGAGATTTCCCCAC